GCCACCACGTAGCACTTGATGCTTTTAAATAGTTTGGTAAAAAGGTTTCTTTAAAAAGCAACCTGGCCCCAACCGGTGTGGTGTGGTATTTTTTGCATGGTTTTGGGTTTGGGTTGTTTTTTCTTTTCCTTTTTTTTTTTTTTTTTCTTCTTCTTCTTTCTTTTCTGGTTTACTAAAAGGAATGTCATCGGTCGTGTTTGTGGCCAGGTGGGCATCCCCGAGGGGACCCTGTGCCCCCCATGCCAGCAACACTTGCAATGTAAACAGTGAGAAGAGCACCAGGGCTCAGAGTGAATGAAGTGGGGGCTGGAGCGGTTCAGGGGTTACAAACCAAGATTAAAACCTTGTCTTCCCTGGGAAGGGCGACGCCGGCGAGGAGGAGGAGGAGGACAATGGTGGGGGGCAAGCACGGGTGGCAGGAGGGACATGAGCCCTGCCACCGTGCTGGCACCCAAAAAGTCTCTTTATGGGGTGGGGACGGAGGGATGAATCCAAAGAGAAGCAGGAGTGGGGGGTGGCGTGGTCCTTCCTTTGGGGGTCCTAGAAGAGAGTAGAGGTGAGCAGGGGAGGGTCTGGGGACAGGGGGCAGCCTCCAGGTGGCAGGCAGTGCCCAGCCCATCCCCAGAGGATGCTTCATGACCACCCTATTTTGGGGGGGTCACCACTGGGATCATCACCCACCTGGGCAGCGCCACACTCAGAAGAGCCCACAGTCCTTCAGGTTGTTTTTGATGATGACGTCGGTGACGGCGTCAAAGACGAACTGCACGTTCTTGGTGTCGGTGGCGCAGGTGAAGTGGGTGTAGATCTCCTTGGTGTCCTTCCGCTTGTTCAGGTCCTCAAACTTGCTCTGGATGTAGCTGGCTGCCTCGTCATACTTGTTGGCCCCTGGGGAGGAGGAGACACTGGGCTGCCCCACAGTCGCCCACGGCCACCGGCACCCACTGCCACTGGCACCAAAGAGTTTTGGGCCTGCCTTGGCTCCCCGTGCTGCCACAGCCACTGCCCCAACGCCAAACTGATGTTCCAAAGGCAGAGTGAGCCTCACCTAATGCCCTAGGGCTGCTGCCCCTCGTGTTGTGTCCTCCCACATCTTCCCCCATCCCCTGGGACACTCCAAACACCACCACACCCCACTTGCTGCCCCAACACACTGCTCCTCAACAGGAGAGCCATCTCCATCCCCAGCACCTCCTACTACTCGGCCCAATACCCCTGCGAGGAGACCAGGGGGGTACTGCAGGTCCCAGTGGTACCTGTGTACTCGGGGAAGCAGATGGTGAGGGAGCTGTGCACGATCTTCTCCTCAAAGAGGTCCTTCTTGTTGAGGAAAAGGATGATGGACGTGTCTGTGAACCACTTGTTATTGCAGATGCTGTCAAACAGCTTCATGCTCTCGTGCATCCGGTTCTGGTAGGGGAGATGGCAGTGTGAGCTGGACAGGGAACCCCAAGCAGCACCTACCCCACTGCTCCCCACCCTGCCACCTCCCATGTTCCTGCCTGCCCAGGCAGGGGATGCCAATGGGCCTGCAAGGCTTGGACCACACTGGCAGCCTGCAGAGGAGGGGGTGCTCCCCCAGTCCCTCAAGGAGGGAATGGCTCACAGCACTGATTCCATCTCTGTGACTCACCATCTCCTCATCTTCAGCCAGGACCAGGTCATAGGCGCTCAGGGCCACGCAGAAAATGATAGCAGTCACCCCCTCGAAGCAGTGGATCCACTTCTTCCGCTCCGAGCGCTGGCCACCCACGTCGAACATCCTGCAGCAGAGAGGTGATGTGGGGATGGGCAGCAGCTCCTGCCCCCACAGCCCTTGCCCCATGCCCTGACTCAGTGTCCCCAGCTGCCCAGAGCAGGAGCAGTACAGGCATGGGCACAGCACAGTCCCTCTGCCCAAGGGTTTTGCCAGTGCTGAAGATCTGCCCTGGCACCTGCTGCCTATCTCAGGGACAGGGCAGTGTCCAGGCTCTTTTCCCAACTGGAGCGGATTCCTGATGTGAGCCAGGGCAGGATCAGGCCACCTTTCCCAGGAGGTGTCAGTGTGATGCTTCCCAGGGACCTGTTCCAGAGTGGGCACTGCTGGGCTTTGCCAGAGACCTTGGACCAAGGGAAGCCAAGTGGCTGCAGGCTCAGCAGGACTGCAGGAGCACAAGGGCTCAAGGATGACCCCAGTGCACTGTGTGCCTCTCCTGCCACGGGCAGCAGAGGACGCCCTGCCTCCACAGGGAAAAGCACAGCAGCAGCACCATGGCCACGTTCACTGGGGCTGGTAGGAAGGCTTTCCCACTGGGACTCACTGCATCCCACCCCCCCAAGACCCCCACCACTGCCACCTCCAAAGCACTGCCCTGGTGATGTGTGACCAAGCATCTCCATCCCACCAGGGTGGCACAGGGGTCCCTGAGAGCCTCCTGCATTCAGAGAGGACCCCAGCAGATCCTTCTGACATCAGCCCTGTTGCCATGGGACTAAATCCCCTGGGATGTGCACAATGCCAGCTTTTTGCCTCAGAAACTGGAGCCCTGACTATTTCCCGTGGGTTTCAGTGGAAAGCAACCGCGGGGTGCCAGCAGGCAGCAGTGCCAGTGCCTGACCCCAAGACCCCAGCTCCTCCCCAGTGCCCTTCCCACAACGGAAGCAGCGTCACTGCACCCGGAGGATGGATGCCTTCCCCCTTCCCCTCCGTGCCAGAGCCTGGATCCGCCCCTGGGCTGAGCCCTGCGACGCGTTTTTGAGGCCGTTCCAGCTCTTTCAGCGGTTTCCGCTCTCTCTGAGGCAGCAGTTCCCACCATGAGCAAACCCGGGGCAGGGGAACTCGGTGTATGCAGCATGCAACCAGGATCCATCCCGGCATGGGGAGGAGGTTTTTTTTTTTTTTGCCATGGGAAAGGCAAAAGGGAAAGGGTCGGACATACTTGAAGTGCAGGTCCTTGAAGGTGAAGTGGGTCTCTACAATGCCAGTGGTCTTCACCCTGGTGCGCAGCACATCCTGCTGGGTGGGGATGTAATCAGCACGGGCTATCCTCTCCAGGTCGTTCAGGTAGCTGGGGAGTAAGAGGAAAGGTGCTGTGGGAGCTGGACCGTGGGGCACAACCCACCAAATCCCACAGGACATTCCCACACCATCCCAGACATCCCCTGGCCATCTCCCAGCATCGTCCATTCAGGGTGAGCAGTGCCGAGCTGGGCAGCACAGTGGGGGCCCCATCTGCACCCCGGGGTCACCCCGTGTCCCTGCCAGACACAGGCAGGGCAGGACACCAGGGGTGGCACGGGACACACAGGACTGAGGGACTGGGGGGCAGTGTGCTGGTGCTGGGAGCCAGGCAGAGGATGCAGCCAGAGCAGAGGGGCTCACCCTGTCCCCCTGGCCGTTTGCACAGGGGGGAAATGGCAAGGGGAAAATATTCAGCGCTATGGCAACCAGCCGCAGCACCGGCGGAAACAATCGATGGCGCCGTGCCATTTATAGTCAAAAACACAAAGGGACGGCGTCCTGGGAGGAAGCGGGAGGCGGGCGGCCAGAGAGACAGGGAGCAGCACAGCGGGGGACTGCGGCCATCCCCGGCCATCGCCTGCCCTGCTGCCCACACAGGCTCCCAGCAGCGGCGGTGGCCGGGTCCCCAAGGCGCAGCGCCCACCGTGACCGTGACAACCAAGAACTGCCGGGGGGGATCAAGGCGGGTTTTGATTTTTCCAGCTCACATTGCTTTAATTGGGTTACTGCAAACGGGCTCCTTTAAGCAAATTAGGCTTGTCTTAATTAAGGTATTTGCAGAGTCATAATCTGGTGAAAGCCAGATTACAGCCCGCAAGGCCATAGGGATCCTTGGCTCTGGCGGCAGCACGGCCGCTCGCCAGCTCCTGGGAAACCCTGCAGCGTGCCGGGACAAGGCCGGGCTGGAGGTGCACCAGGACCCTGCCGTGTGTGTGAGGGTGGGGGGCCGGCACGTCGTCGCTGCAGAGCAGCTCAAAAACAGCCGGAAACACAGACAGCCTCCGGCTGACAAAAAAACAGGAAACACCGCGGCAGGGCCCTGCGCTACGCCAGCGGCTCTCGGACCTTGCGCCAAGCCCCAGGGTGCTGGTGAGCACCACCCTGGCACCCCAAGCTCCTGGAATCCTAAGGCACTGTGGAGGAGGAGGCTGCAGCTGCTGCAGAGGGCTGGGGCACAGGTGGGCTGCGTGCCAGGCACAGCAAAGGGCTCCTTATCCCCGGGCTGCTCTCTGCCAGCAGCACAGTGAGCACAACATCATTCCCACGGGATGGGCAGGGCATCAACCACCGCACTAGCATCTCTACAGGGCTGGAAATGGGCTGGAGCAACAGCTTGAGGGCACTCCTAATTAATGGTTGTCCAGCCCCCGCCATGCTCCATAACAGCTCTAACAGCAATATACAATTCGTAGACACTGTGCAAATACAGTTGCTCCAGCTTTGTGTGTGAGCTGCCAGGTACCTGCCGGGTGTCCCCTGTCCCCAAACCTGCACCCACTGCTGGGGAAATGCCTCAGTGATGGGGCTGAGCAGACAGGAGCCAGGGAGGGCGGGTGTGTGCCAGTCAGGAGGAAGTGAAACCCATGGGTGTTGGGGGAAAGCTCTGCCAGGAGCTTCTCCAGGGTTGGCACTTGCCATGAGCTTTCCTGCAACCTCTTCCCCACAACGACCTCAGTACAGAAGGGGGACCCAGCAGTGCCACGCAGGAGGGGACAGCTCGGGGTTGGACAGCCCTGGGCTGGCAGTGAGTCCCAAGCGTGCTGGTGGAGCCAGGCTTGGCGGGGTGTTCCTGGCACACCATGAGCTCCCCTGCCACACTTTACCACGAGGGCACTGTGCAAGCTAAATGCAGATTCATCTGTGTTGCCCTCTCCAGCAACGGTACATTAGGCAGATTAACTTATTTATTAATCTCTTCAAGGATAAACCCAACCAGATGCATCAATTTATCTACCTAAACACTGGTTTGCTGGATAATGTGCCAGTTTAAAGCCGTCTTTCCATATAAAATCAGTTAAAAAGAAAAACAAAAGCCTCTTGAACGTTCTACTCATCCTCTTCAGACCTAAGTGTCCCCAGTGCTTTCTTTGGGGTTTTTTCTTGCCTTCATGGCCCATGAAGGGTGAGGAGGGTGGGCAGGATCCCAGCTGTGTTCATATAGGGGAGCCACTGAGGAGCATCCCCTGGGGAAGGGCAGCGGGCACCGAGCAGTGGAAGGAGGGAGATGCCCCAGTGCCCCCCCTCCCAGGGGACACAGCACCCCACTAGAGGAGGAAACAGCTTTCGAAACATCCGCCTTCCCAGTTCTGCTCCAGCTCAGCCCCAGCATCGCGTGGGAAGTGGCAGCACCAGCCCCAAGCCTGGCAATGGAGAATAGAGGCCCCCACAGGGATTTTCTGCTGCTCGATAAAAGCGCCGCGGTCCACAGGGCCCAGATCAGCCAAGCTGGGGCAGAGGAGCAGGGGTACTCACTAGGCAGCAGAGTCGTTCAGCTGGTACTCTCTGGAGCGGTTGAAACAGGCCTGGACCCCGTTGTCAGCCCACAGCCTCCGGATGACATTGGCCAAGTCCTCCGGCATGATGCCCTGCTCCTCAGCGGTGCAGGAGAGCGCAAACAGCTGCCGAGCATCATCCTGCAGGGAAAAAACAGAGCTTGAGCACCGGCACCGGATCAGCAAAGTTCACTCTGCTCCAGAGGACCTGACTGGAGCCCAACGGATCCCACACAGACAGCACGGTGGAAGCTCCTGTGGTGGATGGGGATGAGACCCAATGGAAGCAGCAGGACCCCCACCCCTGCACCCATCAGGGGCTGTGCCAGTGCAGCCACCCATGGATTATGCTTTGGGTCCTCCCATCTTCAGTGCCAGAGACAGGAGGACACAGTCATCCAGGGAACAGCAGGGCTTGGGCAGGGCCACTCTTAATCCTGGTCCAGCTTTGGGCACATCTGCTTTAGCCCCCGAGAACCCCCATCCCTGCCAGCTGTGGTGAGAGCAGGAGGGCACCCACCGCTCTGGAGGAGTCTCCAAAGTCAATCTGCAGGTTCCCCATGGCCTTGATGATGGCCATGATGGACTGGATGGTGTTGCTGTAGACCACAGCTTTGTACTGCCGGCACTCCTCCTCTGAGTAGCCATCCTCGTGGATGATCCTGGAGCAGGGGAGAGACACAGACAAGGTCAGCCCTTTGGGGGGCACCCCAGGGTGCTGCTCCCCACCCATGCTCTGTGGCAACACCAATGGGAAGCCTTCCCCAATCGAGGGGAAAGGTATGAGGTCTGAGTGGTGTTGCCCACAGCGACAGTGCAGGGACCACTCACTTCATCTGTTTGACAATGGTGCTCTTCCCAGACTCGCCGGCACCTGCGGAGAAATGAGAAGGGAAGATGAGGTCCTGCTCAAAGCCAGGGACCCCCACCCGACTGGGACACCCCTCCAGCCCAGGGAGGGAACATGGCAGGTGCCTCAGCCATTGGAGAAGAGCTCCCAGCATTGGTGAGAGCGGATGTTTGGATGGGCACCGGAAATATCAGGAAAGAGGGAGGAAAAGGGGAGCCTATGGGGGACCTTGCAATAGTTCCTGAGGGGAGAAATGACACCTGCTCTGGGCCAGGAAAATGGCACCAACACACTAACATTTCCCCATGATCCCAGCACACCACAGCCAACTGGATACCCCAGCTTTGGGGTATGCTCACTGCGTGCCCACGGCTGGAGCTGGCAGAGGCCAGGATGCAGGGATGCTCATGTCACCAGGTATGGGCAGGGAACTCAGGAAGAAGCTGCCACCTCCACCAGCCAGCTTGAGCGATCCCAGCGGGACCAGCCGCCCCCAGGTTGGTTCTTAAATAGCACACACTTCCCAACCTGCCGGGTCCTGTGTCCCAGCTCACTGCAGAGGCAGCTGCCAGCAGGGAAAGTCGATGGCTTTTGGGGTCATTCTGTTTTTCAGCATCCAAACGCAGGGTTCCAGAAGTTTAGAGGGACAACCAGGGTGCCCAAGGTTCCCCCTCCTCCACCCTGTCCCCCTTAGGGATGTCATCCCTACGCAGGCAACGTGCAGCCTGGCCCAGCCCTCTCTCCCCAGGCTGCAAGCAGGGAAGGAGCAAAGTCACCCCGGCTGCAAGAAAGGGGAAGCTGAAAGGGGAAGCTGAAAGGGGCGGTGCATGTCCCTTGTCCCCACGAGATGGATGAGTGCCTGTCTTGTCTCGCCCCGAGACCCTCACCAGCCTCTTTGGCTGAGGACCAGTGTGGTCCTTGCCTCTGGGTGCAGGTCCCAGGGGATCTCCCCAAGCCAAGTCCATTCCTGTGTCCTCTTCCTGTCCATTTTCAGTCCATTCCTGTCTCCCCAACACTGCCCTTGGTCACGGAGCTGCCCTTATGGGGGGCCCCAAGGGCTGCGCCAGCACAGCCGCAGAGGGGGCAGAGAGATTACAAGGAGGTTAAAAAAAAATTAGAAAAAAAAAAAGGAGATTATGCTAAAATTAACTGGCAATAACAGGACCCATCATGCCAGCTGGGACATGGCACAGGGAGTAAACTCCTTCTGCACATGTCCCCGGCCTGAATGCCACCCAGGTGATGGGCATGTACCCCCAGGGACACCACGGCAGCACTGCTCAGGGTACAGAGCACCCTGATGCCAGGGCCACACTGAGGCTATGCAGATCCTGTATTCATTGCCATGAGCACCCTGCTCCATGGTTCCCTGCCATATGTGTCGAGGGAGAGGCTCTGCTCAGCTCAGAGGTCACCATTCGGCACTGCAGGGGCTCTCCGGCACTGCCGACCGATCCTCCTCTGGCGCCCTCAGGATGCTGACGCGGCACCCAGCGCAGTCCAGCCAGCGCTCGTGGTCAGTGCTGGCAACTCCTGCCCGGAGCTGGGAGCAGGGGGGAAGGACTCAGCATATCCCTTCATTTTTTCCATTAAATACCTCTGGTTTCTGACACCGTGTACCGCTGGGTCGGGCAGCTAGAGCCAGCTGCACTCACCCTGCCCTTCCCTGACGGGTGCCTGGACAGGGAAACTGAGGCACATGGCAAGCAAGGACCCTGCTTATCAGCATCCCTAGGATGAGGTGCCAGACAGCCAGACAGCTGTTTCCCATTCTCCTGCTCTGCCTTATCCTGACATTTGCTCCCTGCCAGGAGGGAACAATCCCCCTGGGACCTCCTGCCTGCAGGAGTGACAGTCCCAGGGTGACCATCACCAAGGCTGACCATTTCCTCGCAAACTTCCCCAGCGTCTCCCAGCTTCTTCCCTGCTCCATGAGGAAGGTGGCCATGCTGTTTCCCCCTGTTTCAAGTCAGCACCTCTGCCTGCCACCAGGAGCTCACCTAGCACAAGAGCCTGTGTAATTAATACCCTCCCTCCTGTGTGGGGAACCCTCCCCGGCCCCCCCGGTGAGGGCGGCAGAGGGGAAGGGTTTCCAATCCCCGGAAAACCCCAGCTGCCGCCCATTCAGCCCCAAAACAATTCCTGGGCCAGAAGCCAACAGCCAGCTTCCACCCTCAAGCCCAGCCCAGGCAGGACGAGGCGCTGTCAGAGGGGCTTTGCCTCCTCCAGCCCCCCCTGGCAGCATCAGGGGGGACAGAGAGACCCTCCCTACCACCATGGGCTGACCCCACAGCTGTGCTCCCTCCAGCCCTGCCTCTCTGCCAGGAGCAGGCAGTTCCCAGAGCAGTGCCTGGCAAAACAGGAGGAGAGCTCTCTCTAGAGCTCATTTCCTCCTTTTTTTGTTAAAAATAATCTTCAAAACTTAAAATAAGCAAGCAGCTGCCCAGCTCCAGAACACCCTGCTGATCAACTGGCAAAAAGTTTATTGAGCCAACATATATATTTTGCAGCCCACGATTTATGACGCTTTCTGGGCAGTAGATATTTAATGCAATATACGCACATAGTTCTGGGCAGCACATATGTAATCCCTATATTTTAGGAGCTGGCCACAGGTTTCAGGATCCACCTCATCCCGCATCACCAAGAGCGGATTTTCCATTTTTCCACACGGCACCATCACGTTCTATGCCTTCAAATATCCAGGCATGGATGGAAGCGATGCACAGCTGGAAAATTTGCCTTATTATGGGGGAAAAACTGGAATTCAATCCACCAGTGGGTCCAGAGCCATCTCCATCCCCAGCAGCTGAAGCCCCATCCCCAGACACTGTCCCGGCAAGTTTTCCCAGCCTGGCAAACAGCAGCTATTATTTGAGCATGGATTTACTGATAGGTTTTAGTTCTGGACAAACACACCAATTCCTTTCCCTGCAGGACAGACAGATGGCTGAACAGAGGGATGGCTGTGGAGCCCACCCCCCCTCAGCACCTGTGGGGTCCCCATCATCAAATGGGACTGTCAAAGGGGTGTCTTAAAAGCAGAGTTACCCTAAAGACTCAAAAACTAACAATAAAAAGAGATTCCCCTCAACATTTTCCTTCCTACCCAAAATAGATGGAAAATTGCTGTAAAAATAATCACATTTTTTTAAAACCCCACGGTGACATAGGGCGTTTTTCCCAAGGGCCGTCCCATTCCAGCACAGGGCTGGCTGCTTCCCAGAAGGAGCCTGTGCATCAACAGCTGGTGGATGCCACGTCCCCAGGCAGGACCTCAAAAAACTGGGGGGCACTAGGGAGGCACAGACCCGCCTGTCCAAGGCAGCCGACGGAGATGCAGAAAAAAAACCCAACAAAAGTAAATAAAATAGAAATAAACTGGCAGCAGGAAGGATGCTCGGAGCACACAGGGAGGAGGTGGGCTGGGTATGGTTTCCCAGGGGGAGCATGGAAAATGCCAACAAGGCCCGCCGGTGTTCGCAAGCTGGACAAAACTACCCTTGTGCCGGGCTTTTTCCAGGAATCCTGGAACTTTGCTGCTCAGTTTCTGACCCTGCCACAGCCAGAGTTGTCCCTCTCCCCCTCCGCTGAGTGCCCCCAGGACTGGGTGCCAGCCATGCCATCCCCTCCATGCTGCCCTGACGGGATGGGGGCTCACCCGCTGGCACCCAAATCCCCCCACCTGAGTTTCCCACCAGTGGGATGGAGGATTACTCAGCTCCCCCCGCTCTGGTGATTCAACCAGTCTCCAGCCCGGAAACCCGCGCTCCGGGCCTGGAGCAGGAAACCCGGTGGCTGCGGAAAGGCCAGGCCAGCCCTGGCTATAAACAGTGCTTGGGGACACCGTGATCCCACAGCACTCACTGGCACCCACAGCCCTGGGTGGGCTCAGACCATGGGAGATCTTCTTCCATAAAGCTAAATATATATAGGTAAAGCAATATATATATATACACTTTTTGATACACATAAATCAATGTATATATTGCTCCATACAAAAGAGCAATGTGTGTATACATATATATATACACAAAATGCGATTTATATATATTTAAAATAGAAAATATATTTCTAATAAGTATGTGAAAATATATGTAAAATATATACATATAAGCCTGCTGCTTCCCCTGGGCAAAGCCTAAGTGCTCATCTTGGAGCAGAGGGCAGCTGCCTGCCTCTGGGATTTCACCAGTGGGGGCATGAGAGTGACTCATCCCAGGGTTTGGGTGCTGGGGTCCTTCCTCCCATCCCATCCCACCCTAACCCATCCCAAGTTCATACACCAGCTCCAGGGGGTTGGATGTGGGGTCCTCTCTGGATCTAACAGCACTGAGTTTTTCCCTGTTCACCATGACACCTCGTGGTCTGTGGTCACAGTGAAGGCAACACAGCCCATCACCCAGGGCTGGGGCAGGAGGAAGGACAGAAACAACTCCCCAAGACAGGATGAAGCACAACAAACCAGGCGGCTCATACGGAACTCAGGGCAGTGCCGGGGCCACACAGCCTCTGAAAGTCACAGCTGGTCCCTCCCTTCCTCTATTTTTATGCAAGCCTAAAAAAAAAAAACCAACAAAGTGGCTTCCGAGCCCTGCCCTGGCCGCCCTTGCCCTGGCCACGGCTGGAACAGGCAGCTCCTGCGTGACGTCCTCCGGTGCCACCGCGCCAGGGGGGTGCGAGGGCAGCGTCCTCGTCCTGGGGTCTGCACCTGCAGCACTGCAAACCTCTGGGGATCGACATGACCAACCCACCAGCGCCTTCCCCATCTCTAGTGCAGCTGAGAAATCCTTTTGCTTTCCTAATGCCCCGAAGATAAGGGATAAGGGAGTTTGAACACGGTGATCGCTTGCCTGCTGCCAATCTTGCATCCCGCCCAGAGTATCCCAGTTGCCACAGGCAGGGAGGTGGGATGGTCAGAACACAGCCTCCAGAAGGAGGTTGTGGCTTCAGGGGTTTGAGTCCTGGTGATGCCCAGGAGCCAACAGTGGCACCAGGAGGTGCTAGAAATGCTGCTGCACAAGGCAGATGCTCCAGGTGCTTTCAGTTGTCGGTGGTGACTCCTGGCCTCTCCCAGCACCAAAACCTTGGG